TCTGTGCTATACAACGAGGCAGATGCTGGCAGATGATTCCTTTGCTGCCTCTCAAATCAGTTTTCACAGAAAGACACTTCTTTTATCTAAGCACAGGATACAAGGTTAGGGGCCAGCTCAATTTCCTCTCTTCCTTTAGCCAATCACAAGTCAATAAAATACATTATTTCTGGCAAGAGCTATATTGACTCACTTGGGTCTAAAAATAACTCTTGACCACATGTAGTACATCTAGATCCTTCTCCAGAATCTAAAATCAATATTCACCAGTTGTAAGGTGTTACTCAACTGTAAGCATTTCCCACTAAATCACACTAATCTAGTAATAAAAGAAGCTATACAAAATAACCAAAATCCCCACTTCTTTTTTCTTTTTTTGAGTTGTACAGAAATTTTGCCAGCATTTAATGTTCCATCACAATATTTGGCAAATGCACACTGGCATCCATACACTTTAAATCTGAACAGATTTGGGGAGGAACAAGTCCAAAATAATCATTCCAGACTTTGAGAGAGGAAAGTCTGTGCCCTAAAGAACATTTCTAAGATAACATTTTAGCTATAAATCAGATTTACTCCCCAACAGCAATTTTAAACTGCATGTAAAAGAATTAAGAGCTTTAAACAAACTAATCTTAACTCATGTTTAGCCCTGAGAGGAGTAGTCTGGGAAAACAGATTCCATTGCTTGGACATAAATTGATAAAGGTTTCTTTTATGAGTATTGCAATGATAAATATGTATGCCTAGGAAAGCATATGTTTGGGTTCAAGCATATGAGTCCCTATGTGTAGAAATATTTTAAATGTATAAAATATAAGCAAAGAGAAAGAAAACTGGGAAACAAGAGCAGGCTCGGCAGGTATGTCTCAAGGGAACACGTCTGAGTGCAGAGTCTAAATCTTAGGTGCGCCTCCATCCCAGCCCCAGGCCTGGAGTCCAGATTCACAACGTGTGCGGGATGAGACTGGGGCCAAGACCACGCACAGATCTTCTGAGAACGGCTAGACCCACCACCCCCATCCAGCAGATTTGTCCAGTCCTCCAAAGTAACGAAAACAATAACTGAGATCCAGCTGGTCAGAATAGATGTTGATATTCCTCCCTCACCAATTCCAAATAGAATTTTCTTTCCCTTTTGATGAATTCAAATGCAGAATACCTGAGAGAATAAATCATTTTCAGGAGATCAGTTCAGATTCAGCCCATGGTCTGGTGCTAAACAAGTCTGATGATCATTTTTTTTTTTTTCCACTTAGGCAGGGAGTTGGTAGGATCAAGGAACACCCTCTGTCCATAACTGCAAATCTAACCATGTCAACTTCTACCACAGAGAAAGCCTTGATATTGTCTTGTTTTGGGGAGAGTTTTTCTATGATGATACTAAATATTTGGGCATGATCTACAATTTTTTAAAGTTCAGAAACATAATTTAGATGAACACATGTGACACCTCACTCATGTTGGAAGATAAAATGAATATGGGCAACTTCATCAATGTTTAAGTCAAGTAAACAAATTTGTTAAGCTAAACATTATTTCTGAGTAACTTCATCAGAAACATTATTTCAACCCTCCCCAAAACACTTACAATATGAAAACAGTTGAGGTACATTGGAATTGGTAAATTTCAGTAATCAGCATATCCCTGCCTTCTCATAATCCATTCTTCAATAACCAAATGCCCCTGACCTAATAATGCCCATAGTCTCCTTTCTCTGGGCCTCCCACACCCTTCCTGCAGTCCTGACGACCTTTAAACTGTCCTGTAACCTCCCAACTCTCAATCTCCCACAGGGCGAGAACCACCCTGTGTATCACTATACAACCTACCTAAGTTTGCTCACCTAGTGTGTGGGTGTTCAAAACACACTGAATTAATCCATTTCTATCTCAAAATAAGTATGAAAATTCCTTTTCATTCCTTAAAATATTTTAATCTAAAAAGGAATATGAAGGCCATTTAAGAATGGTGACTACATCCCTTCATTCAAAACGTCCTAAAAGTTAATTCCCACAAGTGCTATTAAGCTCATATACCGATCAGATCTCTGCACCCAAAGCCAGTGCTCTAGGACAACCCAGAGTGGTAGGGGTAGGGTGGGGGGACACATGTATACCTGTGGCTAAGTCATCACAATATTGTAAAGTAATTATCCTAGAGTTAAATAATTGAAAACAAACAAAGACAGGGCTTTCCTGGTGGCCCAGTGGTTAAGAATTTGCCTTTCTATGCAAGGGACTGGGTGAAACCCTTGGGAAACTAAAATCCCCCATGCCATGGGGCAATTGAGCTCACGTGCCTCAACTAAAGAACTTGCATGCTGCAACGACTGGAGCCCACACACGACAACTGGACAGTCCATGTGCCAAAGCAAAAACTCACACCTGACCGAATAAAACCAGATGCAGCCAAATATATAAATAAGTTTTTAAGAAAAGACAATAGGCGCCACATGGAGTTGCTCATGCTAAAGCCTCACAAGACCAAACCAAGAGTAAATTACAGTTTTGGCTCTTTCAGAAATGAAATCTTAACCCAATCAATTAGGAATCCTCTGGTCAGTACAACATCCTGTAAAAGGGAGTAACTTTGTAATATGCAACCCATTTTTTGCCTAGTGTAACTTCCCTGTTCCAGCTCCCATCTACCTATAAGTCTTTCATTTTGTACACATCTTAGGAACATCTTTCTATCTGCTAGACTGAATGATGTTCAACTCATGAATCACCAAATAGTCAATAAGATTTTTAAAATTTAGTCAATTGATTTTTTTTTAATTAGTTCCCTGCAGATTCCAACCTGTTCATCTCTTCTTAAAAGATGGTGGAGGGGGAAATCACCCTGTGTTTCTCATGCTGGCTCGTAACAGTTTATTGCAACCTTTAAAAATACAATTGGTAGTCATTTTGTATTCTATTTATTAAGTAATACCATCAACTTAGTTTCCTTCATTTAACAAGCAGTAGAGCAGGTAATGTAAATATTTCTTTCTTCACCTCCTTAAAATGAGTTAAGTTGCTGTATTTTGTGTTTAAAAGGAACAAAACATCGAAGGCATTGTGTTATTCAGCAAATGACTGACTCATCCTTTTCCCTAATGTGACCTGAGTGTCTGTTGTGTGCCAGACCTGGCCTGGGTGCTGGAGACACAGCTCTACCCCAAGGAGCCTAGAGCCGGAGAAAGGGACCTGCAGATCTTGACAGACTATACATGTCAGATATTTAAGCAAAAGAATTATGGTTTTCATTTTCAAAAGCATATCACATTTTAACAGTAATATCACTTTACAATTTTGTTTCTAAACTTGAAGACAACAAAAAGTTAACATTTGCTTTCATATGATCTCTTGGAAGAAACAACAAAATCTGAGGAGCAATCTATGATAGAATAACCAAAGGTTCCAATTAAGTAGGCAGGAGAATCACAAATATTTAGATTCTCTTTATCTTTAGATGTCTTTAGAGTCTCTTTAGATCTCTTTAGATATCTTTAGATTCTCTTTATCTAAGATGTCTTGACTTCAATTATCTAAAATAACTGAAAATGAGTTTTCACATATAAAATTTTTCTTTATCTTCAGATACAAATATGAAACTAACTTTCCAAATTTCCAATTCTACATGCTGAATCCTGCCAGAGAGCATTCAGTTCAGTTCAGTTGCTCAGTCCTGTCCGACTCTTTGCAACCCCATGGACTGCAGCACACCAGGCTTCCCTGTCCGTCACCAACTCCCGAAACCTACTCAAACTCATGTCCGTCACATCTGTGATGTCATCCAACCATCTCATCCTCTGTCGTCCCCTTCTTCTCCCGCCTTCAAATTTTCCCAGCATCAGACAGCATTACTGAAAATGTTTTCCAGGATCTAGTTTTAGGGTTTTGATGGCAAAATTATGCAAACCTTTCCATTTACATTATTTGAAAGTAAGAAATGTTTCCCATTTTACTAAAAATTTACTATTGATCAGACCATACTCCTTCCATTTGAAGATCAAAGTGTCTCCATGGATCACATATTTTAATCCCATCTCAGTTTGGTTTAAATATCATTATAAAACTATTCTGGCCCTACATTTGAGCGTTTTTACCTGTTTTCTTGCTTTGTCATTAAAAAAGAAAAAAAAAAAGTATACCATGCTGATGTAATTAGCCCAGATTACTTTAACCTTTATGGTCATAAGACCAGTTCTTAAAAGTTATATTATTTTCAAAGAGCGAAGAAAAAGAAGGACCAAGGACATTTTTCAAAATATTTCTTTATTAATACCAGATGCGTAACATTTAACATAAATTAAAACGTGCCCTAACACATTCAAGAGGATGATGAATAAGATGGTCATATGAAAACATCCGTTGTAATAAAATCCTGATGAGCAACTACTCATCTCCAAGGGCTAGAACAGGGGGGAAAAGGGAATATTCCTTTTTCCTTAGTAAGACTGTGTGCAGTTTTGAGATCGAAATGCCTGCCAGAGGCGGCTTTATCACCCTCTACCCGCCAGTGTTAACCAAGATCCTTAATATCCCAGCAGTGTGTGTTACCTAATACGCACATACAGGTAGAGATGGGTACCTAGAGCCTCCAAGGCCAATAAACTGGTCCTCTGGAAATTAAGAAACAAATGATAAATGACTTTTCCTCATTTTCTCAATCTCTGCCTTCTGCACCTTATCGTTCTACTCCAGCTTGCAAGGAAGGACGACCTCCTTCCTGAAGCCTCACAGTTATTCCCTACGGTTTTAGGCACAGCGAAGTGGGGGGTGACAGCGGGTTTGCAGGGGCGCAGATTTGCTTGCTGCGCTCCTACCTGCATCGGGGGCAGCCCCTCCGGCCTGGGCTTACCCAGGGGGAGGGGTGTGCAAGGCTGGGGAGGACAGCCAGCCGACAGGGCTTGGCAAGTCCCAGCCCCAGCCCTCCCCCCACGTCCACTTTCCACCCCGGTGCCTCTCGCCCTCCTCTCCCACCGCCGGGCCACCCCGCGCGGCTCCCTTACCCGGCTCGTGGACGCCGGGGCTGTCGGACAGCTCGAGAACCAGCAGCTCGCGGCCCTCGAAGCTGCGCCCCACCGTGTAGATCCTGCTGACCGCGGCGCACTGCAGCCACACGGACACGAGCGCCTCACGAAGCTCTGGGTAGCGGTGGTACTCAAAGGAGATGCCGTCCTCCTGCGGCCGCCGGCGCCGCCTCGAGCCCGCGGCAGGGCCCGCAGCCCCCCGGGCCTCGGCGCCCAGCAGCCAGGCACAGGCGGCCAGCGAGCCGCACAGCGCCAGCAGCGCGCAGCCCCCTCGCCGGACCATCCCGTCCCGCGTCTCCTGTGCGGCCTCCTCTGGGCCCAGAACCTCGGGGCGCACGGCCTGCGGGTCCCCTCGACTCGCCTCCCGGCGGCCTGGAGCGGGGAGGGCAGTGAAGACCTGAGCAGGGACCGCGAGGCGGGAGAGGAGCGCAGGACGCACCGCCGCCGAGTGCGGGACGCCAGGGAGGAGGCGCGGAGCCCGGCGAGGCGCACGGGCGGGGCGGGGCGGGGAGGGCGGCGCCCGCGGCGCCGCCGGCCGGATTCGCGGCTAACCAGGGGCCGCTATGCGATTTGTGGGTTTGGAGCCACGTCAGAGTCAAATGGCGCCGCTAGGACCCAGGTGAGATGACAGCTAAGGTCGGATGTGGGCACGTTGCTGTCAGCATTGAGAGACCGTGACAGTGCCTGTGGGCGGTGTGTGCGGGGAGCCACTCTGAGGTTGTTAGTGAGTCTTTTTATGTGCCATCAGTTCCAAGCCGACCAGGTTTCCATCTTGATGCTCCCAAGACTAGAGAATATTCCAGAAAAAAGAAAGAAAGAAACACAAAGGCAGCCACTTGCCTTCTGCCCGAGATGTGTCTTTAATAATTTGTACTGATAGTTCAAACACAAACCCACTGGTTGGATGTTCATTGATTGCACGGTCTGTCTGAAAAACAGAACACTGGGCACTTGGATTTAGAGGTTTAGGAAACCGAAAATGCGTTTTATCGATTTGCAGATAGTGTCTTTAATTGTATTTATGCACATACCTGGGTTGTAACAGCGGGGAAGGAAAAGAGTAAGACAATGTCATCTGCCAGTGCCTGTGCCAACCCCCTTCTGCAGTTCCTGTGGGAAAAGCAGAGTACAGCCCGAGCGCTGGTCAAGGGATTTAGTTGGGTATTAAGGTTAAATCTTTCCAAAACAGCTTTTCCGGGTGGTTCAGGCTCAGAGTCTCTTACCTGGTTGTAACTAAGATGCTGCCAGGACTGCAGTCATCTGAAGGCTTGACTGGGGCTAAAGAATCTTCCTCCAAGAAAAAAAGTTAAAGATCAAAACTATTACAGAAAGAAAACTCTGATCATGAAAGATAATCTCTCCATTCCCCTCCCATAATTATTGCAAAAATATAAAATCATTTATAGCTTTAGATACCCAGCCTTTACACAGAATTTGTAGTGTAATAAATGTTATTCTGAAGAGGTTGCCTTTTGGATTCAGTAATAGCACAAATCTAAGTAAATCATCCATTGGGTATTTCAACCAAGCAGGAAAACTAGACATCATGTGAGTAATTTTTTATGTTAAACATTTTTTTTTTGTCTTAACTCATTCTTTTCCCCCTGAACAGTGCAGTGCACTGAATAAAAACTCTCTTTTGGGAATGGATTCATTTAAAAAAAAAAAAAAGAAAATGGCGCTGTTTCAAAACTTTCTGACAGCAGCATGGATCTTTTTGGGGATGAACTGCCACTGTAAAGAAATGCCACTCAGTTGAATTTGGACCTGGCCATGTTCCTTGTCAATTTAGGCAGAAGGAAGAACCGTATATTTTTCTCAGTGACCAATTTCAGTTTGATTACATGGTTCAAAAGTTTGAAACCAGAGTTATAATTAGATTTCTAAAAACATGCCCCAAAGAACAACCTTGTAAACCTAGAAAAAGAAAACAGTGTAGCTAAAACCAATAACTTCAACAGTGGAAGGTTAAGATTTTCAGGTTAGCAATTTCAGGTAACCACACTAATTTGTGGCAAGATGGGTCATATACTAGTGACAACACATGTAAACAGCATATGGTTTGGTGAAGTCCTGTGTTACCCTTAAGTTTCTCTTCAAACAAAGGGTGTGTTTTCTATTTTTTCCCAAATCTCAGTTTTATGGATTTTTTTTTTTTTTTTTTTTTTTTGCTTTTTTGTAAACAGGTAAGATTCTGCCAGCGCTGTGGTCTCACTTGAAAGGGATCTTTTGGAAGAACCTTAGAAGTTTGTTTTCTTTATCTATTAAAGTGAAATATTTGAATTCATTCAAGTGCAGCAGGGTCATCTAGAGAATTTGTAAAATGTGCAGATTTCTAAACACCCACCAATGCAGAAGTTCTGAGATGGATTTCAGGTATTAACAAGGTTCTGGGTTTTAATAAGATTCCAGGTATTTTTTATTTTGATGTTTGATTGATGAACATGCTTCAAACATCTCAAATACTGCAACTCTGGAAGTTTTCTTTTTGAGAAAAGTTCCTGTTCACCAAAACTCTGGTGAACATAAACCAAGAAATCAATTCACAAGAATTAAAACTTTGTTTTTTAATTTCTGGGCAATTTTAGGTGTAGGTCAGCTTCACTGGAATGTAATTATTTTTTGTAGTTTCATAGGCAATTGTGTAAAAGTTATATCCCAATCCTGATTGCTAGATAGAAAATCTTGCATGCTAAGCATTTAATATTTTTGACCCTGTTCATTCATGGGTAAATCTAGTGTGCAGGCACATTTTAAATTATTCATATATATGCACACACACACAAGGAAGAAAGAGATCTGTTTTTTATGTCACTTCTGAACATCTGTATAAGCATATTTAAGCCCCCTGAAGCTTCACTTCCTGCATCACTTCTATTATTATCACATCCAGAAATTGTCTCTTCCTATATCCTAAACTTTGTATTCAGTTCAGCTCAGTTCAGTTCAGTCATGTTCAACTCTTTGCAACCCCATGAACTGCAGCACGCCAGGCCTCCCTGTCCATCACCAACTCCCGGAGTTTACTCAAACTCATGTTCATTGAGTTGGTGATGCCATCCAACCATGCCATCCTCCGTTGTCCCCTACTCCTCCTGCCTTCAATCTTTCTCAACATCAGGGTCTTTTTAAATGAGTCAGTTCTTTGCATGAGGTGGCCAAAGTATTGGAGTTTCAGCTTTTACATAAGTCCTACCAATGAACACCCAGGACTGATTTCCTTTAGGATGGACTGGTTAGATCTCCTTGCAGTCCAAGGGACTTTCAAGAGTCTTCTCCAACACCACACTTCAAAAGCATCAATTCTTCTGCACTCAGCTTTCTTTATAGTTCAACTCTCAGATCCATACATGACTGCTGAAAAAACCATAGCCTTGACTAGACGGACCTTTGTGGACAAAGTAATGTCTCTGCTTTTTAATATGCTGTCTAGGTTGGTCATAACTTTTCTTACAAGGAGTAAGCGTCTTTTAATCTCATGGCTACAATCACCATCTGCAGTGATTTTGGAGCCCCAAAAAATAAAGTCAGCCACTGTTTCCACTGTTTCCCCATCTATTTGCCATGAAGTGATGGGACCAGCTGCCATGATCTTAGTTTTCTGAATGTTGAGTTTTAAGCCAAGTTTTTCACTCTCCTCTTTCACTTTCATCAAGAGGCTGTTTAGTTCTTCTTCACTTTCTGCCATAAGGGTGGTGTCATCTGCATATCTGAGGTTATTGATATTTCTCCCAGCAATCTTGATTCCAGCTTGTGCTTCATCCAGCCCAGCGTTTCTCATGATGTACTCTGCATATAAGTTAAATAAGCAGGGTGACAATATACGGCCTTGACGTACTCCATTTCCCATTTGGAACCAGTCTGTTGCTCCATGTATTACTTCCTTCCAAAGCCCTGTCTAGTCATCTACTCCAGAAAGATTCTGTAAACACATAGTTTTATATCTATCTGGTGGTAAATGTTGACTCTCAACTTTCCTTGGGGTATAAAACCTGATTTAGAGTGTTTGCTGATTTCCATCATGTAAATATTCCCACCATGGCTGATTTCAAATTGCCAATGTGACATGACTGAATGCAGCCTTGAAAAGAGGTATGTAGTACTGTACTTTCATTCAAATTCTTTATCTCCTCCCTTTCAAGTGGGAGGGCTTAATTCCTTTCTACTTGAGTGTAGGCAGTAGTGACTTGCTTCTAATGAATGCAATATAGCAGAAGTGATAGGATATATCTACAGGTGGTGCTAGTGGTAAAGAACCCTCCTGCCCGAGCAGGAGACATAAGAGACAAGGGTTTGATATCCGGATCAGGAAGATCCCATGGAGAGGGGAATGGCAACCCACTCCAGATTTCTTGCCTGGATAATCCCATGGACAGAGGAGCCTGGAGGTTCATGGTCCATAGGGTCAAAAAGATTCAGACATGGCTGAAGTGACTTAGCACACATGAACGCATTAAAATTAGGTTATGATAAGACTCTCTCGCTCCCCCTCCTTCTCATATCACTTGTCCTGGGCAAGTTGTCTGCTGTGATGTAGAGATGCTTACACAGCAAGGACTGCAGGAAGCCTCTGTAGAAGCCTAAGAGAGACCTGAGAGCTCTGCACCCAGCAGCCATGAGTTACTGAGGCCTGCCAACAGCCATGGGAACAAACCTGTCAGCCCAGGAAAGCCTGGGAGAGCTGCTTAACTGACAGCTGAACTCCAACCTCCTTAGATACCCTGAGCCAGAACCATCCAGTAAGGCAGCAACAGTTACCCAACCAACAGAAACTGTTAGCGAATAAATGTGTGTTGTTTCAAGCTGCAGAGATTGAGAATAATTAATACATACAGTTTGCTTCCTAGGTCATGCAGTGTTAAAGAATATACCGGCCAATGCAGGAGATGCAAGTTTGATCCCTGGATTGGGAAGATCCCATGGAGAAGGAACTGGCAACCCGCTCCAGTATTCTTGCCTCAAAACTCCCATGGACAGAGGAGGCTGGTGGGCTACCGTCCAGGAGGCTCACAGAGTGGGATATGACTGAGCGACTGAGCACACGCACAACACATAAACAGTATCTCCCATGTAGATACAAGAGACAGAAACAACCTTGAGCACACAGAGGGTAATACAATATGGCAGAATATGAAGAAGTGATGGGTTTTCATTATTCATTGCCTTTGTTCTTCATTGTTGTTCAATCACTATCATGTCCAACTCTTTGCGACCCCAATGACCTCAGCACACCAGGCTTCCCTGTCCTTCAGTATCTCCTGGAGTTTGCTCAAACTCATGTCC